TTCTATAGACATATACGGTTCAAATAGGGCATTAAGATGAACATCTATTAGGTACTAAACTCTAGAAATAGATTTAGATCTAATATTCATAGTGGATATCAATTCTTAATGCTTTGTGTTGTTTAGTTGCGCGAGACATCGCTGATGAGATAATATGGTTGCTCTCTTAACTTTGGGTTAGACATAACCTGTGTTGTGGGTGAGACATGATGATATTGACGAGTGATTTAGGTTGAGTACAACTGATCAATAAGTTTAAGTATATGATGGGCATATGAAATTCAATTCCGACGAGTTCTCTCCTCTCTAAAGAATGTATTTATTTTACTTGTTCATATATTTTACTTTCAACACTTTATGTTTTACACCATTCAAAACAAAGCTTATAAACACAGAGATTGTTGAACGAAATTCTTTCCCTCGCACTAATCCCCGTGGAGACGATAAAACAAAACTAAAAATACTTACTTTTGTTTGCTGCTTTACCGCAAAAACATGATGGTAGTGAGGCCTCTTCGTTTTATTTATTATTTTCCGTAATTATTTATTTTTGCTTAAGCTCTGATCTATAACACTGGGACGAGATACTCGTTATTGTTTTTTAAAGTTTGAGTTATTTAATTATATGAAGTACTTTATTTTATTGAGACAACTAAAGTATGACTAATAATTTAATTTCGTTACTATTTCTTATTATGACGTTGTTGAAGATGTATGTTGACCACGTGTAACACCTATATTCGAGAAATTATATGTTTATGTTTTATAAATAAAGAATCAGGGTTTTAGGGTGTTACATCTTTAAGTTGAGTATTTTGTGTAAAATTTCCTGGCGATCTCCTGGTCCCCTTGGAAAAATCTCACTTGCCCATCGGGGAGCGGGTACTTCATGCATAAATATAAAATATAAAAATGGCTCCTAGTTGATTAAAGGTTGGTCGCCCAATAATCATATTATACGAAGATGGGGCATCAATGACTAGATAGTAAACCTTTATTTCTTTGTCCTGGTCCTTCTCTTCAAATGTGATCTTCAGAGTTAGGTACCCCTTCACTTGGACCTGTTCTCCCAAAAATCTAACAGTGATCCTTTGAAAGGCTTCAAGTCTTCAGAATCAAGATGAAATATCTCGAAAGCATCCATATACAATATGTTAGTGGAGCTTCCCTAATCTACCAGGACCCTCTTAATCTTTCACTCCTTGCACTTAACTGTTATGACCATGGGGTTATCGTTAGGGGAAAGGATGACAGACACATCTTTCTCTGAGAATATAACCGTGGCTTCTGGTGCTTCCATGCTCTTGACCTCAAGGAGGTTTTCTATGTTCATAATTTGGCAGGCACACCTTTAATAGGTGGAGCTAGTCTCCTATCTTATGGAGAATCCTGCTGTTACAATGTTGAGTGTGTGACGCGCCAGTTTGCTGTACTCACACTGAGATGCTTCCTTGAATTTTCTTGACTCAAGGCTTCTGGAACCCCATTTCCCGTGTGAGTTATGTCTTTCTGCCGGTTGGGAAAGGTCACCATTCACAAATTTTTTGAGGTGCCCCTCATGTATCAGCTTTTCTATTTCCTTCTTAAGTTGGTAGAAGTCATCGGTATGATGTCCCTTTTCTCTGTAGAACTTGCACCATTATGAGTTCAAATCCCATCACCTAGGCCTTGGGAGTAGGAAGTGTTAATATGTTGTGCATGTGGAGTACCTCGTGCCGAATATGTTCTCGGGGGGTATTTAAAGGCATGAAGCTTTCCACCATTTTCCCCACTCTTTTGAATGCAAATTTTTCCTTCACGAGAGAGATGTAACTATTTTTCCTTCGAGGATGTGAGCTCCCGACGCCGGGGACATGCTCCTTGACACCGCGAGCCTTCTTTTTCAATGTTTCTTTCATCGCCTTTGATATAATAGTCGGCCCTGTCGACCACCTCGACTAATGTGAGTGCTGGATTTTGGGTTAGGGATTCATTGAAGTGTCCATTCTTCAGTCTATTTTGGGACGTTCCCACAAACGTTTTTTGGTTCGAAAGGACAACCTTGGCGATAACTTCGTTGAAGTGGGCGAGGTAGTCCCTCTGTGATTCTGACGGACCCTGTCTAATGTTAAATAGGTTGGTGGTGAACATATTCCTATGACGAGTGGTGGCGAACTGATGTACCAACTTCTTTACTAGTTCATGATAACTTCTAATAGAGGCACAAGGAAAGCCCGTGGTCCATCTAAGGGCGACATCCCCGAGGGTCCCCGAAAACAACTTACATTTTAGAGATTCTGACGCTTCTTTGATGGGCATATGCATGTTTAATGGATGCTACATGTTCGTAGGGATCATTGCATCCATAAAACTTGGCCAATGATGGATGTTTGAAACCTTCGAGGACAGGGGCTCCCCGTATTTTGTCAGAGAGTGGATTGGGATCCAGTAGTTTCACCTCTTTCGGGGGGTTAAACACCTGTTGGTGATGTTTGATGTTGTGAACGTCATCCTCTAACGTCTGATTATGGTGTTATAGTTCCTCCATGGCGACACACATCTCCGTCATGGCATCAACATCACCTGTATCGGTGGTACCCTCAGGTGCAGGGGATAGAGCTCTCTTATTGACTATGGTTAATATTGACTAGGTGTAAGAAATGAGGATACGATGGAAAATGTGATGATGATTAAAAGAGGTGTGATCCAGGTTAGTTTTACCGGGACACCACCATGGGCGTAACTGTATTAGTCAAAAAGTGTAGGTGTTCTTGTTCCCCATATAAAGGCAGGGAGACTCAAAGGACTTAGTAGGTATATAACATGTTTTGATAGTGAGAGCTTTCTTATAGCGGCGAGTAGCCATGTACAATATTTTTTAGGCTGTTAATGGGACCAACTAATATGTGGTGAGAGACCTTATTGGTTGCCGGTGCTGCTTGATTAAAGGAGGGCGAATAGGTTAATCGTGTGTCACAGTTACAGAAAACACAAAGCTCTTTTGGGTAGTAGAATATGTGCATGACTTAAAGTTTATCTTTTTCCTACGAGGAGTAATATATTTATAGGGGTATCTCAGACCTAGAGTTTTTATGCCTTTAAGTGGTCTTAACTGCTCCCTCTTACTAGCGAAGGTTATGACCACCTATTTTACAGGAGTCAGTGTGGATTCTTTCTTACTTGACACCCACATTCGAGGAGCCCTTTGGACGAATCTCTTAAATCCATCGTAGGCGACACAATTATGGGGCGAGAATGCCCTAGTATAGGATTTTACCAAATATAACACTACAAAGATAATGAATCTTTATATGATGCAAATTAAAGGTACAAATTAATACTTAAATGTTGTCCTTCGCATAAGGTTGATTATTTGACGTATGAACAATATTTTACTAAAAGACTTCATGAAGAGATCTGATTCTTATTGGATGCCTCAACTAGAGGCACCATGATAATCAAGTTTGTAATGATGGAGAAAGAATTGATCGGTATCATGGTTTAACATGAGTTTCAGGCATTATTTGACTGTGGTTACAGAAGAAGAGTACATAGATCATTTGATACTCATAATGTACTTTTAGCCAATCACAAACAAATGAAAGCACAATTGAATTCATTGAACGAGCAAATGATAAATCTCCAAAAAGGATATCATTAGATAAAACATGTACAACAAACTCTTATATGTCACTTTTGTGGATAAGGTCATGAAAGTGACCAATATAACTCTGGAATGCATGGAGAAAAAAAGTTAATTTTATAAATTTTTAACAATAAAAAACACAAAAGCATCTATCTAAAATCAAGAGACATAAATTAAGAAACTTTCACAATAATTGGCGGTTAAATCTTAAATCTATAATAATTATGAAGGAACACTGTATACAATCCAAAAAATAAGAGATGTTGTGTTGCAAATTTTAGAAGGAATGATATATATATATATATATATATATATATATATATATATATATTCATAAAGAGTAACTAAGTTTTCCTTCTTATATATGCTTAAGTCTCCACATTCATATCTAATGTGTGACTATTTCCTCACTTACTCACACTTGTTATATTATTCCAACACTCCCCCTCAAGTGTGAGTCCACAATGCTCTCCCATTGTACCACCATTGACGTCTTACAACGGAACACCATTTCCTGAGCGTATTTCGATACAAGTCTCTTCCGGTCCCTTTCTCGAACCAAAGACTCATGATACCATGTTGGGGGGAGATACAAGGAACATCGATACATAGTATAGAAATAAACACCTTTGTGAGAGACACACCACTTATCCACAACGCTCCTAATATCTCCCCCAATATTGAATTCATTGAACCAATATAACTCTGGGAAATGCATGGATAAAAAAGTTAATTTTATAGAGAATTTTCAAAAAAAAAAAAACACGAAAGCATCTATCTAAAATCAAGAGACATAAATTAAAAAACTTTCACAACAATTGTCGGTTAAATCTTAAATCTACAATAGTTATGAAGGAACACTGTATACAATCCAAAGAAAAATAAGAGATGTTGTGTTGAAAATTTTAGAAGGAATGATATATATATATATATATATATATATATATATATATATATATATATATATATATATATATATATATATATATATATATATATATATATATATATATATATATAATTGTTCATAAAGAGTAACTTTGTAATTAAAATTTTCCCTCTTTGAAAGTTTTCCTATCTTTCCAAAAAAAGTTAACCCATATTTTGAACTTCTCAAACAAATTCGAAAGGTATTACAAAGAAGCAAAGTTAACTCACATTTTAACTGATTTAAGCATGGAACCTTTTTCTTAATAATCTTTATCAATAACCATAGCATCTTTTCACTTTCCAAGAAAAATAAAATATAAAAAAACTAGTCCTTTTCCTTTTTATCTATTTTTTTCTTCACTTACTAAAAGACAAAGAATCTTACTTTACTAAAACCCTTTAATGGGTTGAAAAATTCAGAAAAACCAAAACCAAGTTTTGAACAATGTGGTTTAACGTTGTTGTTGTTGTTCTCTTTGCAACAATCTCATTTTCCCTTTTCATCTCAGCAGTTTCTCTTAACCGTAGTAGTTTTCCATCTGATTTCCTGTTTGGAACAGCCTCTTCAGCTTACCAGGTTTTTGTTTTGTCATATGTTGATTGTTTTTGTCTTGGTATTTGTTTATGTAAAGTGTTGGTTAGATCTTAATCTTATTTTGTTTTTTTGTTGTTTGAAGTATGAAGGTGCAGCACGTGAAGGTGGTAAAGGACCAAGCATATGGGACACGTTCACTCATAGCCACCCAGGTTTGTGTATTTTGTTTCTATTTTTTGTCATTTGCTTTGTGTATGTTTGATTTTGTTTTTGGAAGAAGCAAAAGCAATTCTAGAGATGGAAAATTGATTCTGGAAATGATTTTGAGGTGTTTGGTTATTTCTAAAGTAGTATTGATTATGTCTTTAAAATTGATTCTACTTCAGTAGTATATTAGTATTGATCTTATCTTTAGAATTGATTTTATTTGAAGGTAGGGTTTGTAGCTCTTTTTAAACGTGGTTTTTATATTGAAATTTATCGTTCAACTCAATTTTGCATAAAGTTATCCAAACATAAATCACTACAAACTTAGAAATATTATGATGTTTTGTTGGTTTTTCAGATAGAATTGCGGGCCATAGTAACGGGGATGTTGCTGTTGATTCATACCATCGCTACAAGGTAATTTCATTCTCTTGACTTGAGTTTAAAGTTTTAGATGAACTTTCCTGATACTGCTATTTGATTCGATCGAAATGGATGATAATGTTCACAACCTGAATAAAAAAAACCAGGAAGATGTGGCTATGATGAAGGATATTGGATTTAATGCTTACAGGTTTTCCATCGCGTGGTCTAGAATACTACCTCGTAAGCAACTTTCGAATTGTCTTTTACGTATCCTCGGATTCTTGGGGAACTTTTAAGTATTGAAACATAAATTGAACATAGATGTTGGTGGTGTTTCGTAATGAAATTAAACTCGATATATTTTTTTTTTTTTAGGTGGAAATCTAAATGGTGGGATTAACCAAGAAGGTGTTATATATTACAACAATCTCATAAATGATCTGATATCAAATGGTTAGTATAAAACTCGATTCTTGTTTTCTCGTGTTCTTTTTTTTCTTCTTATGATGATGCCTCAAAATAAACTAAATATGATTTTGATGTAACTTTTTGTTTGTAGGACAAAAGCCGTTTATAACTCTATTTCACTCTGATCTCCCTCAAGCTCTTGAAGATGAATATGGTGGTTTTTTGAGTCCCAAAATTGAGTAAGCAATAGTGGTTTTTTGAGCCAAAATTTAGAAAGAGATGTCAGAGAACGCGTTGCAATCACTTCTCGTTTTTCTGTTCTCTCCCGAGTACTTGAAAATTGACATTTTGTTTTGTAAACAGACAAGATTTCGCAGATTATGCCGAAGTATGCTTTAGAGAGTTTGGCGACAGAGTTAAGCATTGGATTACATTAAATGAGCCACTGCTTTATAGCACTGGAGGTTATGGAAATGGAGGATCCCCTCCCTCGAGGTGCTCAAAATGGGTAGCTAACTGCAATGCCGGTGATTCTAGTACCGAGCCGTATGTAGTTTCACACCACCTGATTCTTGCTCATGCCGCAGCAGTAAAAGTCTATAGGACGAAGTTTCAGGTTGTTGCATAACTTCATTTTATTACAAGATAAAATAAAGGCAAACCGTTTTTGTATAAGCTATAAGTTGTTTTCATAAGCTATTCTGAAGAGCTTATGAAAATCTCATAAGTTGTTTTTATAAGCTTTTTCAAATAGTCTTTCTAATAAAACAATTCAAATTAGCGGTAACTAAATGTGAATGATTCGATCACAGAATACTCAGAAGGGTCAAATCGGAGTAACACTAAACTCTGCATGGCTTGTGCCACTATCCCTATCAAAAGCGGACAGAGATGCTGCATCTCGCGGTCTTGATTTTATGTATGGCTGGTAAGTATCTTTATCTTTCCCGCTAACAAGGTCTTGGGTTTGATCTCTACCGCTAACAAATTCTCACTAATCATTTTGTGTTTTTCAAGGTTCATGGAACCCTTGAACTCCGGTACATATCCTGCTACAATAGTTAACAAAGTCAAGGAACGTTTGCCGAGGTTTTCGAGAAGTCAATCCTTAATGGTCAAAGGATCCTTCGATTTCGTAGGTTTAAACTATTACACTTCAACTTATGCAACCGATATACCTTGCCAGGGTGGAAAGCCATCGGTTTTTACCGACAATTGTGTTAGGTTTACTAGTAAGTTATTCTATATAGACATTGTTTAACTCTTTGTTAAATTTTCTTTGTAATTTTGATAGTTACTATCCTTTTTTTTCTTCACTTACATCAGGTTTAAGAAACGGAGTTCTCATTGGTCCAAAGGTACTTGTAAATGGAAATAAGTTGTTAAATTTTGCTTGTGCCCCATTTGGATAAGTGCTTATGTATAAGTTGTTTCTCACCATACTTCCTCCAAAACTTTTTTCTAAAAGGAATTAAGAAGTTAGTAATGTTTGCAGGCTGCATCAGACTGGCTCTATGTCTATCCACCAGGAATTCAGGGACTATTACAATACACTAAGGAGAAATTCAACAATCCAATTATTTACATAACAGAAAATGGTAAGATTAACTCAAATAATCTCGTTTTTCCATAACGCTGCATCTTTACCGTGTTACAATACTAATGTTTCATTTGTTTGATTCAAACCATTCAAATATTTGCAGGAATTGACGAGGTTGATGATGGAAAAAGGTCACTTAATGACAAAGTGAGGATAGACTATATTAGTCACCATCTATTGTATCTTCAAAGGGCCATAATGTGAGTTTAACAAATCATTATCGTCTACGAATGCGATTAACAGTGTTGTTCTTACAGTCTTTGTTTTTTGTTTTGGACTCAACAATCGAAACTTTGAATTTGGTAGGAATGGTGTGAGGGTGAAGGGATACTTTGCATGGTCGTTGTTGGACAATTTTGAATGGAATGCTGGCTACACGCTCCGGTTTGGACTCGTGTATGTAGATTACAAGAACGGACTGCGAAGGTACCGGAAAAGGTCTGCCTTATGGTTCAAGTTATTTCTCCGCAAATGAAATGATGAAAAGGAGATTGTAATACAATGCTTCCTTCTTAATCATAGTAACAGTTAAAAGACATTGTAAACATTGATTTGATGATTTCTGATAACTGAGATACCAAGTGAGTCTTCATTATCTGTTGTTGTTCTAACTCAGTATGGTTAATATCATTACTGTCTTATGACAAGTGCAACATAAAATACTAATAACAACGTGGTTGTCAATTCAAAATCAAAACACTTACTTGACACTTGACACTCTCATAATTTCATCATACCTATATTACCTTCGTCAAAATTTTATCAAAAAAGTTCGGGACGAAAAATCCAATAAAACAAGTTAGAAATCTTGTACAAATAAAAAAAATCGGTAATATATGTAAAAAAAATTGATATATGGAGTTACATACCGTTTTTTTTTTTAAAGTACTTATATTTACTGAATTTTGTGTAAAGGTGAAAAATCCGGTATTTTGAAAAGTACCAGTTTTTCAAAAATCAATCTTGTAGTAGATTTTTAGCGGATTTGTAAAAAATTCGGTAGTGCAAATTGAAGGGTTATGATTTTATCAACAATTTTGTATCGCTACAATTGTGTTGGCCTTTTTGTGTGGTCCAAAATGAATCTAAAGTTGTATAAATAAGGGTCATGTGTTGTTAAGAAAAATACCTTACAATACCTCAGTTTTTATTTAAGGCATAAGTGTAATTCAATGGAGTGAAATATCCAGTACAACTTCGGCTTTCGGAGGGCACCTCATGTCTCGCTCTTCTGAGATTCAAGTTGAATAATATGTTATCCGACACCGAGAACAGAAAGGTGAGTAAGATCGAGTTATGTCTATACATGATTGATACTGATGGAAAGGTGAAATACAACCTTATTGAATTGAAGGCCAGTGAAGATTTGAAAGTTATGGGAAAAATATATCATCGTAGGCTAACTAAAGGACTAATAGAATTTGATGCGACAATTTCTAGATCATTCGATAAAATAATCAAGATGTTAAAACTTCCATAATCATCTAGTAGTGTTTAGGCTTTCTTAATGAGGTATCCATTATGACTATTATCATCTACAGGCGTTGAGCGTCATCCTCACCACGTGGAGGTGTTAAAGGTGGTGACACGTCATCAGAAGGTACCCCAACATGATATAGTCTAGTATGAGAAGGTCCAACATCATCTCCATGCTGCGTTGGTGGGATGACAGAATGGTGTGATACAATAAGATACTATTCCAAGTACCCATCCACAGATTCTATATGGATCTGAACCTCTACTGCGCGATCTCTAATGGCACGAGCAGAATCCAAAACGTGACTAATAAACCATCAATCAATGTCCACTGATGGAATCGCATGGAATGGTCGTGGGATGTATTGGACATATCCAAACTGGGACAGACACCTCTCAGGTAGTGTCTAGCCACTAAAGTCTCCTATCACAGATAACCAGAAAAATTAGAGGCTCATTGAACTTATGATGCACTTTATGATATGCGTAGGGTGTCCAGATAACAGTGTATACAATCAACACATTGATCCTCTTCTTATACCCTGCAATGCCTCCTGGATGTGCATGCGTGCACCTCTATCTCGGCCTATATGGACTCAATAATGGTAGAAATAACCCGCCTATCACAAATGGACGAAAAATGCTCATATATCTAGCACTGCATAATAACATAGGAAAATTAAGAGATGCCATAAAAGAAATAATAAGAATAAGACATTAAATTTTTTTATACCTGAAATAGACTCATGTAATCGGCAAGTTGCTCTGTCTCAAAGACCGCCGCCTCTCCAAGTGAAACATATAGAACAATCAATGTAGTGCACCCTCATGCCCAGCTAACATGCTTAAGGCGAGTAAATAGCCACATGTACTTTGCGTCGATATATACATGGTATTTATCCTCTAAGATAGTACATTATGTAAGATGTAGCATGTATGCCTTGGCTGCAGCCTCATACATACCCTAATACACTAAACATAAATACCTACCCCAGAGCCAAGATAGACGAAAGTGAAGACCCATGTTAAACCTAAACTTCTCTATCACCTGCTCCTCAATAATCCCTAAGTCATGTACAACTGTCAGATGTGCAAGTTCAAGCTAATGAGAGGGGCAATGAAGAAAGTACATGCCACACAAAGATGGAACATAAATGAGACATCATCTAGGGTAATCATCATCTCACCAAATGAAAGATGGAAGGAAGATGTCTCCTTATGTCGTCGCTCAACAAAGGTTACCAATAGTTGACAATAGAGCATGGTCAACTAACAATCCAACAATAAAAGGAGACCATAATGATCAACAATCTCCTTAACCTCCTCTAGCATCGGGACATTTGAGAACTTCTTCAGCTTCCCCTTGTAGGTGGGCGTCTTCAGCGACGGTCGGTCTTGTAACAAACAAAGTCAAAGGAATCAGTTATTTTCAACATATGAATAATAAATAAAGTTTCATGATCAGCATGTCATATATATACCTCTCCCATCTATAATCCGAATGACACATGATTGACATATCAAGTGAGTACATAACAGACACTAAGTCCTCCAAAAAGTCACCCACTAGTGTGTACAGAAGGCTATGTCGAAGTCAGAGCAGAGACCTCTGTCTTAATCAGATGATTAACCTCCATATCATTCGTAGCAGGAGCCTCAATAACCTTATGCAGAGTAACCTCTATAGTAGTCAGAGCCTCTGTCTCAGAAGGATGGGGCAGTTCTGTCTTCTCAAAAGCATGTGGCACTTGTGTCTCCGCCATAATCTGCATGTCATCCTCAAATATTGCATCGACATCCTCAACAACAGGTTCATCATTTACATCTATGGTCCATCTCGTGTTAGACTACAACGAATCATCTAGAGGGGGGTGAATAGACCCCCAATTAAAAATTACCTTTCAAAATGGTTACTTAAAAACTTATTTGAAAAACAATGTTGAGCGGAAGGTTTTTGGCCTAGATCAAAATAATAGTCTAAACAAACCTAGTTATTAGAAACTCGGATATGCACAAGCCATATGGAATTAAGATAATGATAAAATCAATCAACATAATAATATATCAATTAATAATTTAATATCAAACACAACGGTTTCCTATTTCCAATTAAATCATATTAAAAACATAACTTGACAATTTATCGAACATGTGGCGTGCAATCAATTTTTCAGAATTTTCTTTGAGCTTTGTTGATATGAAAATGCACTTACAATCAAAATAATTATAAGCTAATCAAAAAATCAATTTAAAATTTAACCATCAAAGAGAAATTATATACAAATCAATCAATCAAACAACACATTCAATAAGTTGCATATAGAGAGTAAATGAGAGTAAGAGATAGAATATTGCAATTTGTCAAATACTCGGCGTGTGTTCGACTTTTCAGAATTTTTCTTTGATTTGTGTTGATATGAAAACAACTTATAATCAAAGTGATTATAAGCTAATTAACACACCACTTTAAACAAAACAATTGTGTAAGTGTTTGTTGGCAACAATTTTGATAAAACAATACTTTGATAATATTTTGCTAAATGTCTTGACATTTGGAGAAAACTATTTTGAATGATGTCAAAGCATATGTCTTGATATCTGCCTCCTGAGCTGAACGCAACTCACATCCGTTTAAGTTTTATGTTTCCTATTTTCATGCGTGCCATGATTCAGGACTTGTGACTCATAGGATGCGAAAAATATAGAGGAATATTTTTCTATTTAAATTATCCTTATGGATTATATCTTAGCCCATTTTCTTGGAAATATTCAAAATATTGGAATATTTGTTTTTCAGCCCAAGCCCAATGTTGCACCTTTATAAGGACTTGATTCCTTATTCATTCAATTACAACTTTTGAAGAAGAATACTTTCTTTCTGTTTTAGAAGTCTAAGACTTTTTAATTTTCATGCACTCTAGTATTGATTTGATACTTGAGTTGTTATTTGAGTTGTTAATTATTGATCATTCATAAGCTTTTAAGTATTGAATGATTGAAGTCTTTAAAACTTAATATTTCTGTAGTTCTTCACTGTAAGTGATTGAAGGGATTTGAGGAGGGCCTCATACCTAGGTGTGTCTTAGGTAGAAGTATAGCACGAGTAGTGATTAAGTTATTAGATCGTAAATTGGTTGTTTACTGAGGGCCTATGAATTGATACTATTTAGTGGACTTGTCACTGGCTTGGTAACCTCCAGAGTAGGTGTTGTTGTACACTGAACTGGGTTAACAATACCTTGTGTTTTTACTGTTTTACTTTTGTTGCATTTTACATTGTCCTCAGATATTTGTGTCGTGACATCTCCTTCGACATCTCATATCTGATACCAGAATTTCAATTGGTATCAGAGAAGGCATCCTGCTCTTTATCTGGGTGAGATCCAGGGAAGATACTTTTTGGTACTATGGACAAGGAAGGAGGATTTGTGAACAGACCACCCATTCTAGATGAAAGTAATTATGACTATTGGAAACCACGTATGGTGGCTTTCTTAAAGTCTTTGGACATCAGAGCTTGGAAAGTTGTTTTAAAAGGATGGAAACACCCTGTCAAATTGGGAGAAAATGGAGAACCTACCTCTGAGTTAAAACCATAAGAAGATTGGTCTAAAGAAGAAGATGGAATTGCTCTTGGAAATTCTAAAGCCTTGAATGCTATATTCAATGGAATTGACAAGAATAGTTTCAGATTAGTGAACACATGTGAAGTAGCTAAATATGCATGGGGAATTCTTCAATCTACCCATGAAGGCACATCTAAAGTTAAGATGTCAAGACTTCAGTTGCTCACCATAAAATTTGAGAATTTAAGAATGAAGGATGATGAAAGTATTAATGACTTCCATATGAACATTCTTGAAATTGCTAATGCATCCAGTGCTTTAGGAGAGAAAATACCTGAAGAAAAATTGGTGAGAAAGATGCTCAGGTCTCTTCCCAAGAGATTTGATATGAAAGTGATTGCTATAGAAGAAGCTCAAGACATTGACAAAATGA